AAAATGATATTTTTAAATAACCCGCGTTGAATTTTGCAAGGGTTTTCTACATGACTTTCAAATGCAGTTCTGCAGGAGTTTTAAATCACCCTTGTCCTTCACAGAAATGGCAGAGCGGTTTCCTGCACATCATTGCAATTTTGACAGAGCAAAGCCTAATCATCGCACTTTATACGAGTGGGGTGCAATCAGGCAGATGTGGGGCAGCAGGGACGGATACTTCCTGTTTGAGAGAGTACAGATTCTCCTGGCACAGCCCTCAAGAATATTTAAATATTTATGGCTTGAAGGTTCGACTCAAAATATGGGATGAAATAATAAGTGAAATGTGTAGCTGGAGACTTAAAGTCATGTGGAAGTTAATGGCCAAAAGAAGCCCAAATGCAAGGGTTTGTGTAGGACAATTTAGAAAAATGTGCTTTTGCAAAATTTGACATCAAGATTAGTGGATAGGAATCTAGTTAGCGCTTATTTGTAAAGAAAAACGTGTCCTATAAGCATGCTTGTGTCTGCCTTATAAGCAGTTTGCGCTCAGAAACAGTTACAGATATCATTTCTGGATGCAGGTATTTGATTATTAGCAGAGTGTGAGAGAGTGTGTGTGTGTGTGTGTGTGTGTGTGTGTGTGTGTGTGTGTGTGTGTGTGTGTGTGTGTGTGTGTGTGTGTGTGTGTGCCTCATTTCTTTTAGCACTCATTTGGATTTTACAGGATTATTTTAGATCATTATGCAATTAAAGTGTGTTTCATTTAATTCAATGTTTTAATTTAGGATTTTTTTTTGATTAATTTCAGTTTTGTCAAAGTTAAAACAATTTTTTTGTTTTTTAGGTATAAGCAAAGAGCCAACTCTGCAGTGGAGGATGCCAAATTGGAAATCAGTAGGTTATATTATTTATATAAACTAGTGTTTATTTGGATACAGAACAAACTAAATGTAGTAAAAAGTCCCAAATATTCATAATGCTCATTCCATATGTGTTGTGTTGGATTAGTGATCAATTGTAGTGTCAACCTTATTTTTCCGCTTGAGGAAAAGGGGCCCTATTATGGAAATGTTCACGTTTATATTTGTATTTTGTGCCTCTGCTATGAAATGTTTACATGCTTTCATTTATAAAAAGTGCTTTATTTTTGGGGATTTTAGCCTTTGCAGACCATGTACATGCACACAAACCTATAGAACACACTACAGGAAAAGGGAAAGCCAACAAAGCATAATAGGGCCTCTTTAAGTCTTCATCACCTGGGAACCTTGAATGTCCATAAAGAATAGTGTTGAGATATTGTATTTCAACATAGTATGTCATGGCTAAACATCCAAAGGAAGAGATATTGCAATTATTCCATATATTCCAACATTTCACAGAAGAAGGCCCTCAACAGCTAACAGAAATACTTGTTATTTTCCGTCTCTCACCCACTGCAGGCAGCCTCTAGCTTTACACACTTCACCACTCATGTTCTGAAGCTAGCAGGCACTTTGGTTTTCCTTTCAAGTGAAAACTTCTTTCGTCAAGGATAAAAATCTTCTAGCATTACAAGAGTGTACACACAAACTGCCTTGTTTCAGATTCTATCTCTGTTTGTCAACTTTAAACTGCGCAGCACTGGCTCCCGCCTTCAGTGCAGCCTCAAGTTGTTTGGATGATCAGATTGCTCTTTGTCCTGCCTGTATCTTGTGTGCGTGTAGACTTGTGAACATCTGCCTCACAGGTATCAGGCTTATCCAAGATGCACACTGATTCATGTCAAGCGAGGGCATCCGGGCCTGTATATAAATAAAAACAAACCCAGTGGGATTTCTTCCTTCTAAAAAATCTGGATTTACCTAACAGCCGGTTGAAATTCTCCCTTGGGTGTTTTTCAACTTGCATTAAGATGCAGCTTTTTGGCCTATTGAGAGGAGTATTTCCTTTTATCTGTGTTAAACGCACATTCTCAGAGGGTAATGGGACCTTACCGTCTGCATTTCCTCTCAATCCACGTATAAAAAAGGTATATCATATGTTATTAGCAATTCAAATCAGTGTATTGTGTCTCTCCCTGCTCAGGAACCATGCTGCAACTTCTGAAGACTAAAACTATTCTGCTCCTGAGTCCCTGCATGGCATACAGCGGTAAGCCTCGTGATAAATGCGCTAAGTATTAGCATTAAGTATCAAACCTCCAGTGAAGGCTCGCGGCTACAGCGTGTGTTTCTTCTTCTGCAGGCCTGGAGCTATCATTCTACAGCGGGGTGTATGGGACGTGTATCGGAGCAACTGCACAATTTGGGGAATCCGCAAAAGGCTTGATTGGGATCTCTGGGATTGTGGTAGGCATTGGAGAAATTGTGGGTAAGTTAACATTACCGCAGCTCTTTCAGTGATTCAAAAAGTCTCTCACAGTGTCTTGAATTCATTCATGTGTTCCCTCTCGTCAGGTGGAGGCTTGTTTGGATTGTTGTGTAAGAACAATCGCTTCAGACGGACCTCTGTGGTGTTTCTGGGATTGCTCGTCCATTTTGTTGCCTTCTATTTGATCTTCCTCAACATCCCAGATGACGCCCCTGTCGTCTTTTATACCAGCTCTCAAAGTAAACCATATTTAGCTCCAAGGTAAGTGACTCCCCCAACAGTTTTGGATTGTTTGAAGTGGGGTTTTATGAGGTACTTATCCATAGTCAGTGTATTACCTAGAGTAGAACATTGGAAAAAAGCACAAACAAGTATTAACAAGGAAGCAAAGCAATGTGCTGCTGTGGAAGGGGAGAAGAAGTCAAATGTATTTTAGCCACCTAAGAGACAACCATTTCAGATTACTTTATGCTATATTTAATATATTTTCACTGCTTTACCATGTTATGCAGTCCTTTCTGACAGAAAACTTAAGCAGTTATCAAAACTACCAGACTCTTAGAAAAGAACAGTCATTTTACCTCACAATACACAGAAGTTGCTGATCTAAGATTTGCATTGACATTACTACACTGTAGCTATGCACACATGACATACAAGCTTTGCCTCTTGAATCTAGCAAGGCTTCAATAGGTCAGTTCCTCTGTTTTATTATGCAACTTTTACATTTGAACTAACCAAGGTCACATAGCTGGTGCTCTTTTATTTGATTAGCTACCTGTAGCTAATACACTGACTATGAATACATACCCTTTTTAAGCTCTCTTCAAACAATCCCTAACTAACCCTTTAACAATAAAGAAGAATGAACACCAGGAAGGCCAGTTACAATCCTCTTTAGCAATCTTTAATAAGAACTATGTTTCTCTCTCAGCGTGTCCATCGCCCTGCTGTGCAGCTTCCTGCTCGGACTCGGGGACAGTTGTTTCAACACGCAGCTCTACAGCATATTAGGCTGTGTTTATGCTGAGCAGAGCGCGCCTGCTTTTGCCATCTTCAAATTCATCCAGGTAATCCCGAGTCGCCAATTCCCAGGATTTGTTAGCAGAGCTGAGCAAAGCTAGGTTAAAGTGTTGTTTTGTCAAGTATGAAATACATTCGCCTGGAGTCCCATTAAAAAAGGGAAAGAACAAGACCTTTCACACACCTCCTAATCCTCCCTTTGTCTTTGCTGCGAAATTGGTCTCTAACAAGAAATAAACCATATGAATTGAATGTGAAATTAACTCCAATTAAAATGCAGTTTTGTGCTCTTAGCGCATACATATCTGCTCTGTAAACCGCCATTTTCTAAAAAAAACACAGATCCCAAAAGGGTGGAATTAAAATGGTAATTTCTTGCTTTTATGATGGCCCACCGTAGTTTCGCATTTATTCGACTACTGATCAAATACCTTGTTTTGATACAGCCAATCAGATCTTGAATAAAGTAGTGTGTTTTTATTTTAATACTTTGGTAAAATAAACTAATACATACACATCATATCAACACATTGACATTATTTTTGACTTAAAAAGTGATTTGCACTTTAAAAATATTTTATAAATATAAAAACAGCAGGAAATTAGATATAATTACAAATACTGATGGCATTGGCAAAAGGTCTATCTTCTATTAGTTAATTTGATTGCATTTAAAGAGGCCCTATAGTGCTTTTTGGGGTTTTCCCTTTCCTCTAGTCTGTAGTGTGTTATGTAGGGTTTTGTGCATGTAGATAGTCTGCAAAGGCGAAAATCACATAGTTCCCTTCAGAGGGAGTTTCTCTCCTGCCTGAAACACTTTCATTAGACTCCTTTGTCTACTTCAGTAACAATAATCATGACATCACTACGTAACACTCGCTCTTCTATTGGCTAGCGATGATATGCTAAGGGGTGGGACATTTCAAAGTGGTTGACCAATCACAACAGAGCCGGCCAGCTAACCAATCAGAGCAGACTGGGCTCTGGTTTCAGACAGAGGGTGAACCTGAAATGAGCATAATAGGGCCCCTTTAACAATGAATGTTCAGTTATATAACTGGTACAATGAACAAACTTAGCAAAACCATGGTTTTTGTCGGCTGAACTGAAGCATCCTATATCTTTGATCCTCTCTCAGTCTGTTTTTGCAGCCGTGGCGTTCTTCTACAGCGGGTACATCCTGCTGAAGTGGCAGCTCCTGCTGATGGTCATCCTGGGCTTCACCGGGACCCTCTGCTTCTTCGTGGTGGAGTGGGTGCAGAACCTGTCTGTAGACCTGCCGGAATATTAGACGGAAGACATTTCTGCATCAGCAATGATTTTTTAATATGTGTTAGTGGGAAGAACTACAGCCATCAGAGGAACAATCCATCGTGTTTTATTCCATCAGGAGTCATTTGACAATCGTTTATTATCAGCACAATATATTTCATAAACCTTGGGATAACATTAAAGTAGTTTGAGTTGTTGCAACGTGTGACACTGAGTTGCCTTTAGAACATTTGAATCGTGGACCTTTGCTCTCTGTTCTATAAATCGCAACACTAAACAATCTCATCGTTAATGATTACCTTATTTTCCTCCTGCACTGTTGATCTTATCGAATCATTACAAACATAACCACTTACCTTCTTTTGTACTTAGTTAGAGTTGCTTCTGGCTCAGGTTTGTTATTGAAGTCAGAGTTATATGGTTAAAAAATATTTTTTACTTTAAAAGCTGTTAGTTTGTCAGAATGATGTAAGAAAATGGAAGAGAGAAAGTCATGTAAAACTGTTCCTGTCATGTTTAAGAGAAATGTAAACTAATGCCTGACAATCCTTGTTCTTAACTCTTTGTTTGTACATTTTGCATTTTTTCAATGTTTTTTCCCGATCTTGATAAATAAAGTTGTATTCATTTTTGGAGATTTCATCCAAAATGAAAAGGAACAACTGTTAGTATTTTTCTTATACAAACTGTAATAACTCAGATAGTGTCTAGGCCACCAAAAACAACATAAAAGATTCAATGCATAGACACATATTATTTTAGAGGAATATTCACTCATAATTATTGATTACATTGTTTATAACCCATAAATCAGCCTGTGTTTCAGATCTACATTTATAGGGATGTTTTACTCACCACAACATAACCATTGTACATCCAGTTCATTCTCCCACAAAACGAGATAAATCTACCGCTATTTATCCTGATTTGCCAGATTTATTTGAAAATCAATGAGCCCATTAATCAAAAGAGCGGGGGCAGAGGGTGTCGGTGGAAGCGAAAGGGGTATAAGACCCCAAGGCCCCAAATTACTTCACTGGTAATTGAGTATTGATTACATTTTAATGTGAGTAATCAGTTTTGTGTGATCCTAACTCAATTGTGCCACGTACTTGACGACAACAAAGCACTGATGGGCTAAATGAAGTTTACAGCATTTACTTACAGAATTAAACTCTGCAGGGTTCATATTATTGGTTTAGCCTCGTAAGGAAAGTAACTACGTTCGGATAAGTCTATTACCTGAACCCAGGCAATGTTTAATGCACCAGCTCTTAGATATTACCCTCGCAATGGAGGTTTTTCAGGTTGCGTTGTTTGTTAGCTGGATTACGGAAACGCTACTGACCGGATTTTTATAAAACATGGTGGAAGGGTGTAGCACAGGTGTAGCATGGGGTAAGGGAGAAGCCATTACATTTTAAGAGCGGATTGGAAATACAGGCGGATACTGGCATTATTTTACACTTACTGAAAAAGCAGGGTGTGCCACAATGTTTCTCAAAATTCAAAGTTCAAAAGTAATAAATTTAAAACGTTGAACGTTTTATCTGGTGTTCTATGGAAGCTTTCAAGATAAGATATTGACTATCAGTTCATTTACTTTTTTCAATTTTGAGGTAGCCTACTTGAACTGAGATTTGACACTACCTGCTGATTTATACTTCTACTCCCCTACATCTCAAGAGGAAAATATTATACTTTAATTTACAATAAAAAATATGTATCATCATTTTTAATAGGTTAGATTAAAGATCGATAACATAAAACGTTATTGATCCCTTGTTGAAATTCACAAGCTACCCAGCAGTAGGCCTATAGATAATTAAAAAAAAGCTGCACCTTTACCAGAATCAACTTTGACGTGATGAACACATTGGTGCAATCACAATTTTTATCATAAGTATAAATAAATAAATAAATATATTGTTCTGAAATGGAACTTGAGTACATTTTGATGCTAATGTTTTCATACATTTCATGTGTATTTATTCAATTTGGTTTAAGTAATTGTCCTTCAGTAAAAGGTCTAAATACTTCATCCACCTCTGGTTACTATTCATAATTGAAATGCATGAACGAGCCCATATTTACAAGCACTTAGAGAAAACAGTGATTCCAAATTTCAGTCACCCGTCAAAGAGAGACAATTTAAACCCATTTTATTTTACATTTGCAGCAAATTATGCATGTTTGTTTAAGCCACATTACCGTTTTAGACTGCACTTTGTTCAAAGTCAAAATGTCACACTCATTGAAAAAAATGAATTGTATTTTAAATCTATTTATTTGGGCTGAAAAATCGTACGAAACTCTTCACCTTCTCCTCAGATGTTTGTCTGCCGTGCGCAGACTGTGAATTGGGTTGAAAGGCAGATCAAATGTGTACATCAGTGCTGATCTACTTAATGTTGTCACTTCTGTCATACTGCTTGACTCTAATTAGAGGGTTTGATTGAAACAAACCGACGGCATAATGACGGGTTTGTCAGAGGTCTGAAAAGTGAAACAAAGTGTTGCCGTCTTTGTAATCAGGTGTTGCGTTTGTGAGACAGGAGTTGTACTGTCAGGCTGCTTAACCAATGAGACAAGTTTTAATTTCAAAGCCTGTCTTTTCCCAGGGGATTAATTCATTTCATTTATTAATTTAATCTGCGACCTGCCTAATTGCCTCTGGCTGTCAGTTAACCACAGAGCCATGTTTATCACCATCTTTGTACCTGTAGCTCGCTCGGTTAGTACATTTGAATACTTGCCTCATTTCCATGAATTATGGAAATCATACATCTGAGAATAGTTGTAGGGATAAGGTTGAGAACACAATTAAATATGCCAATTTGAAAAGAGAAACATACCCTATCAAATGAGATGACTAACACTGCTCTGTAATTATATGCAGGTTGAAATGAGCACAAACAGTTTTAACTGCTCATTTGTTTTTTTTCCCTCCTGCTTCCAGCTTTCCACACAATGGATGTGTTTGCAATCATCAGCGGCACAATTAATCTAATTGTGTGTTTATTGTTCGTGGATCAAAGGTCAGTGCCGGTCCGAAGATTTATCAGAATTAGCCTTGCATTATTTAAAAACTCCCAAATTGGTTTGCCTCCACAGAAACAGAAAACAACTGAAATTGTACAAAAAGTATACTTTTGTATTAAAGATTTGTGCAGTCATGACCACCAGAAGCTAACAGAGAAGCTGAGCTCTAAGGAGCGGACGTAGTGCCAGTGCTGGACGGGGATGAACAGCACGTCTCCGGGCTGTAACACACATTCCAGATAAGGAGCCTTGGCAAACTCCGGGAAGCGCTCTGTGTCCGGGTTCTCCACATCCACCTGCATGGGAGGAAGTGCTGCATACATTAACTGGCTCCAACATGTATTTCTTATCTATATATGGACTGTCAATCCCACCTGACTGGTGTTGTGGAGGAGCTGGGATTGATGAGGGTACAGCTTGTCCGTGTCCTCCGGGGAATAGAGGCGAATGTATTTGCTTCCCACCACCTGATACAGGGGAAACCCGTGGTTTAAACAAAGCGCGGTCACGTGACACATCTTTAACTGGATTCATACTCGCCCTGAAAGTCCTGAGGCGGCAGAGAAAATACATTCTTTGTTTTGTCCCTTTATGTTTGAAAAAGGACAAAACAAAGAATTGATTCTCTCCGCCGCCTTAGGTCTTTCGGGGAGTGTAGACAAATTCTTCTTTGTTTTTTTACATCTGTGGTTTTGACTGTTCTACAGTATTGCAATACTACATGGTACAAGTGTTTGTCTACCGCTTTCAAATCAAAAAAGCTCCACACGTTAGATAAATGCTCAAAGAATGTTGGTCACCCCTGTGAGAAACTCATGAATCAGCCTACCATAACATCATAGTGAGGCTTTCCAACAACATGCTCTCTGACCACAACGATGTCCTGAACAGCGAATATTCATTTTTACCATCAAATCACAGAAACAGGGTCCCAAGACTTAATAAAGTTAGACTGAAGCAATCCTTTGTGCACCATTCAATCCTCAAATTCGGAGTTCAATCCGAGTTTAAATGTATGATAGAGGGTCTTGAGCGTGTTTCTCTTCAGTGATCGTGATGTTATGTTACATGTTGTTTTCCTTGCATCGTGTTTCTTAATATTTCTCCTTTTGGAGCTGCTGTGATGCAAGTAACATCTCAGACTTGAAAATGAATAATTATCACATCGTATAAAACATTGTGTGTTGGTCACCTGAGCCAGGAAGTTCTGCTGAGGGTCTTGGTGCAGAGGGGACACGGTCCCCCCGGGGCCGAACCAGGCGTTTACAGTGATGTCCTCCTCGTCTCCTTCACCAAGGCAGCAGTAATCAGGAGGACGGATGTCTGCCTTCAGCTCTGGAATCTAATGCAACGTTAAAAAAAAGAATCACATAGGGAGGGCTTTAATTCACACTGACAGAATTATACCATGTTGTTTTTAACCACAACATTTGCCAGTGTCTCATCAGAAATATTTTTCTATTCCTCCCTGCTGGCGACAGCTGTGGCCGCAGGCGTTTTGTGTTTGGCTCGTCTGTGTACTTCCTGTGAACCTTATATCTCAGAAATGCCTGGAGGGAATCTCTTCAAAATGTGTCACAAACTGTCAACATTTCAAATCAAGAATAAACGTATTAGATTGTGTCGGACAAAGCTCGCTGTGACCCGTCAAAACTAAATAATTCACACTAATTAGGACAATTTCACACATATTGCATAATAATAGAAATGATTCTATGTTAAATATATATTTATTTTTATTATATACATTATTTAAAATTAAATTAACACATTTAAAAATGTATTTTATAATATTTCTTATTGTGAGATATTGTAGTATATTGTAATATTTTTAAATATCATTTTTCATTTCCTTTTCTTATATTTTATTATGTTTCCGTACATTTCTATTTGAAATGGGAGCAACTGTATCCTTGATTCAACATTCATTAATTCATGTTAATTATCCAAAGGAGAACATCGAATGTCTCCTTTTCCGATTATAATGCAACATTTTAAGTCAGTTCCTTGATACAAATAATAGACATATAATTAGCTGATTAACAAGTTATCACTTAATAATAGGGGTTTCATGTCAAATAAATCATGAAACATCACCAAATTCACAGCTATGAACTTGACATGATGCCCTCTCTGTAAAGGTCAATTCAGACAATGTATTGAAAATTAGGACTAAAAGGTCAATAGTCTTTAAAGCAATGTGGTTTGAGGATGACAGTTGGAAATAAGGAGAATTCAATTGTTCATTGTGACAGAAAATAAAAGCTGAATAATCAATAGGTAATCAAAATAAATGGATCATTATTTCCATAACCATGTAGTCCGGAAGAAAGAAAACATACCTGATCAAAAAGCTGGTGTTGAGCGAGATAACCTGATCCTTTCACTCCATCCTGGGCCATTTCAGAACAACAGAGCAAATCAAAAACAAGTTAGAAAATAGTTTTGATCATGTTAACAATGCAGCACAAGTTAATGATGGACTTACTTTATTTAAAATGTATCGATCGATAAATTCATTGACGGTGAGCAGAGTCTGGGACCACCCCTCGTCCGTGTACCTGGACCCCACCTCGACAGGAACCGTCCGACAGCCGGCCACTGACCTCAGGTATTCTATGCTTTGCGGAATGAAGAAAAACAAACATTACTGAAATAAAAACGGCATAACTCCTCAAGTCTGGTCATTCAGGGTTCTAGCACAGCTCAATATGTTGTGGGAGCACTTCAGGATGTCCCCCCCCCCCCCACCGTCAGAGTGAGAGTCAGGCGCCGTATGTCAGGTGTCAGCGAGAGCAGTCAGCTGTCAGGAGGCGGCAGGGAGAGGGAGGACAGTGAGGGATCATCTTCAAACGCAGAGGCAGTTATATCGGCCTCCGGTGGCAGACATTAGAGTCAGGAATCGGGGGTGTTTTGACAAGTACACCAACATAAATTCACTTTGTGTTATTTCCACATTTTAAGGCAATTAAGACGAAAACGTAACGGAAGTGTCTGCTAACAAACTGATGTGAATTGTTTGTAACACGCCAGAGCTGCTTCAGTGAGTCGTGCAGGTTTCCCCTCTAGATGAGTGCACTCAGCTGGCGTCACAAGTGTAAATCACTCTGATTACATGACTACACTGAGCCTGAGGAGGGCTGTAGTGTTTAACAATGCTGGAGGACTACTGATGTATATTCTTATAGCAATACCGTGTGTTGTTTTCTAAATTCAAATTGACTATAAAAGACTTTGGGTACGGTGGCCAACCCGTGCACATTCACTAATCATGCAATACTATGTTAAAATAGGCCAATCATTTCATTTCAGGTAATTTTGGATTATTTTAACAATGTGAACGCATGATTCCTTCTGATATTATTGCAGATCTGCTTTAAGCTAGCTAGCTCACGTAGCTAACCTAGTCATTTCAAATATACTGACAAAACACTTACAAAATACACAAACAGTGGCCAACTTTCGCAGTCTCGCAGACCCCACGCAGCAAGCAGGAAATGACACCAGCAACCCAGCTTACACCCAGACCCCACGCAGCAAGCAGGAAATGACACCAGCAACCCAGCTTACACCCAGACCCCACGCAGCAAGCAGGAAATGACACCAGTAACCCAGCTCACGCCCAGACCCCACGCAGCATTCTCATCTGTTTGTCATTACTGGTGTCATTTTCTGGATGCTAACGCCATTGTAACACATAATCACTGATGTTCCGCTGTAACGCTGTTGGACTCATCAAGCCAGAGTGGGCGAGCTGACCAATCAGAGCACAGTGGGCTCGTAGGGAGGGGCAGGAGCTCCAACAAGCCCTTTAGGACAGAGTGAATACACACACTATACAGGGATGCTGTACCAATGTGAGTTTGGAAAATTGCACAATATAAATCTATTTTAGTAGACCTCAATAATGTAATTATGATCAGTAGAAATGTCATGTCACGGGACCTTTAATGATACTAATACTGATTAAAAAAAATGTATGGCAGGGAAAACGACTGATATAGTGATTTGATCTGGACAAAGAAAAATTGCCTGTTTTAGTACAAATAGAACAACAGATTCAAAACAACAAACAACAAACCTCCAGGGGTGCTGGTTGAGGGCGGGCCAGTGCTCGATGGTCCCCTCTAAGATGAGCGGTTTGAGGGGGAGCAGGTAGTTTGTGTTGAAGCTCTCCAGTGAAGGACGCTTCACCCTGGGAATGGCCACCTCCTCTCTGATCACAGGAACATGCTCCATCTTTATTCTCTGTTGATGACGCCAACACAACAAGGGGGTTTGTCAAGTATTCAAATTGATTCTAAAAACGAGCGCTGTAAGAGGCAAATAACAAGAAAAACAATGTGTCGGTAAACAGGCTGGGATAGACGGAAAAAATTAAATATAATCATATTTTGAGTTCTGAAATGGCAATGATGTTGTAGGATTTACTAATTGTGCTTTAACAACTAATGTACAAATGAGATTTTGATTTATAATCATCAGTAATGTGGATCAAATGACTAAACAGATAAAGGCAGCTAATAGAACAACTCAACAAGTAATTATGTATTTATTATCTGATATATCATTCCAATAACTTGTATAGACTCGTATTGCACTATTCCACTTTTTTTTCTCTCACTTTTTTTTTAAAGAAAAAACATTTTTCTTTTTGTATTACTTTTAATATAGTATATTTTAATATTGGTTAATATTGTCTGCTTATCTGTATGAATGTGTTGCATTGTTGGAGAAGCCTGTGACCTAAGATTTTCAACGAGATAATTACTCTGTAGCTATGTTAGTTTACCTTGAACTCAGTTCTGAATCAAATAGATCACTTTATTGTACAAGTTAAATACTCTTATGCCATATTTAAATATCCTAAATCTAAAATGTCTCTCAAAAAATATCAATATAGTTTTTGCACATTATGCAGCCCTATTCTGTTGACATATTTCCCTATAAAATAACTTTATGGATTATAAGATTAAGAGATGAGTCAATCTCCAGCCATTTTATGAACCATTAGAGCCGAAACCGGGATTGATGATGATGAGCAATATTAAAGGTTGTGGACTGTTGGTAGTGCATACAAACCGATATGAAGTTATCTCTATCGGTTTATGGAGACTGTCATGGCAATTTCTTACTTCTTTCTGGCATTAAGTTGATCAATTGATTGATCAAAAGGGTATTGAAGATCAAAAGACATTACAAATAGTTGTTATTTGCAGCCTTAAGCTCCACTACAGGCAGACATGGAAAGTTTAGTTTTGAGAAAAATCCTCCAAACCCTACTCTTAGCTTTCCATCTCAATCTTAAGGAATCTAAACAAAGGGATCTGACATTTGAGTGTTTGTTGCACTTTATCTTCAGTGACATTTGACAGAGTGCCTCAAGATGAAGGGCGACAAAGAAAATAAACACTTCTCACAAACTTTAGAGAAGCTTATTTTGAAATGTCCTCCAAGGTTACCAATTGTTGTAAACATTGAATAACCACTACTTTAGTCTGTTGCTAAATTGGTGACATTCAGTGGTCACTTAAATAGAACAAGTTGTGCACATCTTATTTTATGATAATGACTGATAATCTGCTACCTTTTATTCTTGTACATTTAATAGTAAATGTGCTTTGGCAATTACTTAAAGCCTTAAGAGTTCAAGACTTTTGATGGTGCTAATGAGGTAAATTATTACTTATGATAAAATCAAAAGGGACAAAAGATCACCGACCTTTAGCTGCGGGTGTTCACTATCTTCTTCTTTAGTAGACTTCCTGACTTCACCTTGCAGAATCCGCACAATAACCTGAAGTATATCCTCCATGATGGCTGCCCCCATGAGTAAACCCATGTCACAAGTCCTCAGAGCCTCCAGGACATCCTCTGCTGACGGATCTCCGCAGCACAGAGCGGCCACTTTGAAGAGGCAGCCATACGAATAAACGCGCCTCCATTCTTTGTCCACATGGCGCCATGTTCCAGTATTGAGTTTCTCCCATGAAAAATCCAAAAGGATCTTGGCAGTGAGCATTCGGCTGGCGCTGGTGGTGTCGCTGTACAGCTGACATCTGGACCTTCTCAGCATCTCCACCACACTCGACTCCACTACGGCCCCAAAAGGCAGTGGAAACTTTTCCTCATCTTTAGGAAGGACAGCAGAGATCTTTGTCCACAGCGTGTGCATTAATGAGACGTCTTTACTCATGCTGTGGAACAGACAGTGAAAGAAAGTTAGGACAGCCCTTGTTCGGACTGAATCCCTAATGATGATGCACAGGCACATTGACATGTGGACTGTTTGGTGATTCAACAACTCTGAAGCAAAGGTTGTATTTTAATTATTGTCCTGTGCTAAGATGTCATGGGTCCACCCTTAGCTAAAAACTGTCCACCATGTTTACACAAAAACAGGACACTTGCTTGTGTATACTATACACCTCATATTCAAGTTGGAAATCACAAAATACAGCTGAGGGCCTCCAGAGCCAAAATTGCAATGTGTACAGTCAGTGTTGACCCTCTGTCACATGGTATCTGTGCCCGCCACCTCTGCCTCCATGTGACTCAAACTGTTGTTTTGGATGATCCTTTGAGACTGGAGATGACGCCAAAGTACGAAGCATCCTGATTCCTTTGAGTCAAAAACACACCCTTGTGAACAGAACACAACTAATTTAATTTGCCACATGCATGAAGTGTGTCAGGAGAGGTTTGACCGTGCAGTTCCCTCCACCAGGACACATATCATTCTGGTTTCTCAGAAACATTAGTATGCAACCTCTGACTTTACACACATTTGAGCAAAAACAACAAAACAAGCAGAAATAAACTATTTTTAGATAGGATGTTTGGGGGAATTATGGCCCTACTGTCATACATTAGGCTATTATGGAGTCATTAAGGAGGATGGGCAGAGTAAAGCTTCACCGAAAGTGTACCTCAAATTACTAGTGGGAGAAGGATAATGATTGTATCTAAAAAGCCTCAGAAATGGGTCTCTAGTGTCATTTTTAGAAAACCGAGTATCCTCTTTATGCTCATGTTGACTCCAAAATGTAACCCAAAAAAAGAAAGAGTCCCAATGAGTCCTGATGTCAGCTTTATTGCTGCAAGGCTGCACCATTAGTGCAATTTTAATTTAAAGATATATTTAAACCCTCAAATGCAAGTTAAATGTGAGAGCTGGACATACAAGGATGTGGTTTAATATATTCAGTTGTTATTGGAGTGCTAAGACAGTACACACATTACATTAAATCCACAAAATGTAAGCATAACAAACAATGATTTTCAATCTTTGTAACGATATATTAATAGATTCATACTCAAAAGTAGTCGGAGTTGATGACAACCAAAGCTATAGTGTATAAGATCATATTAATAACAATTTGAATATGGCATGAAGAGAAAGCTGCACTAAAAATCAAGTCGGTTAACGTTGAATAAAGTAACACGTGTAAACCAACGTTATATTAAATTCATTTTTAAAAAGTGCTGGCTGTAGCCGAATTCAACACTTTAAATTGTATATTTACCCGTTTTCACAACATTTATACCGTGTATCCAATTTATTATATATTTTAAATAATAGACCGCTTCAACGCTGCTTCTGGAGTGGGACGACAAAAACACACCGGAAGGAAACTCGGATAGCGGGGAATATTGGTTCCGCGTTATGTTCAAGTGCTTAAAACTGATTAAAGGGTTTCTGAAAATGTTACAAATATTCGAGCTCACTTTCGTTGCAATTGAAGCAATTGATTTTTTTCAAACGTATTTTTATAGTTGCTCTGCATTGACCCTGTGCCCCAGTAGAGGGTAGTAACCCCTGCACACAGGAGACGTCTGTGAAACGCAGTGACAGACACTGATTCAACTACTGTGTGTATCATAGAGTTGTGTACACTGTATAATCACCTGCTCATTTATTTTGCAAGTATAATGTTGCATACACTATCCTACATTGTCACCTTTGTCCACAACCTCAGCCTTGAAGATAAGCATCTGTCTTTTTTTTAAAGTGTTGCTATGGAAACCTTAAAATGCCATGGTTTAAAGAGCAACTTCCAGGTTATAGACACCTGTGAATAAATGTATAGGAAAATGATGAATACACTAGATTTTCAAAAAATATACAGAGATATACACTACAGTGACATCTGGCGTCGTTTTTGTAAGACATTTTCCCTTCCGCATAAAAAAGCCTCGGCTCGTGACCTCCCGCGTGTGACGTACCATGGGGGAAACAAGGGGGAGAGCGGCCGGTGTAACGTATTAATAAACATGGATCCCAATGCTAGTTTCGACACAGAAGACACAGAAGAAGTTGAACATGAATATTCAAATGCATATGATGGACCACAACCTTATAATTAAGAGCCTGCTAGGCGTCAAAGAGACCAGGAGCAGCCAAGGATTAGAAGAAATAACGGCCATTGGAGAGAAATTGAGCTGTGGTGTGAGGAGAACCAGTGGAGAACTAGGCAGCTATCTTGGTGAGTGACCGGCGTTAGCTACAGAATGTTAGCTAACGTCACATCACAACATTGTGAAGTTAGCTATCATATATCAGGCTATAACTAAAGTAGCATTGATAATATAGTAACGTTACTGGCAGGACTGTTGATACTGATCCATAACAGAAACTAATGCGCAAGTATCAGCCGTATCTCGCGTTACCTAATGCAACTCCACACTACGGTGCTGTGTACCGGAGGAGAGACGCGAGATACGGCTGATACTTGACGATCTGGCGGAGAAAGGTTGTGGAGCCTCCGTTGATATGCCGTTGTAAATGGCTTGATGGAAAGCAGGTGTATAGTCAGGGAGGGTGCACAGCTGATTGCAGCAGGTGAGTGGAGGTTGAGCCGGGAGCCAGGAGTGACAGCCACCACGCACACACAAACAACACAGACAGGGGGAAACAAACAAACACAAAGGAGACGACTGGAGCAGTAGCCACCACACGCGTTACCTAA